TACTAAGGTTATTAGATTATTACTTGCGGTCCAGTCCCTATTTCGTTTGAACGATTTTCCCTACCGAGAAGGTGCTTATTTGTTTTGTTTGAAAGTAAATCTCGCAATGGCTGTAATTAGTTATGAGGGGTAGCTGTAGTCCATTGCGCGGCTTTACTACACTGGATCAAGTTTATATAAGAGAGGATACAATTTATCATCTCTAGGTTTAGCTACAGTAAATTCAGGAGTACTGACAGGTATTAAAATATGTTCAGGTGTTCGTTAACAACAAATCAGTGGCGTGTAGGCTTGAATGAGAACAAGGAAGTTAGTTTTTGTAAGAAATCTTCAACGTTCGAACTATCTGTAAATACAGGTATGCACAAAAAAAGAAAATTCATTCTGTACGTGCCAAAAATGCAGATTGCACTTGTACCCATTCAACGAATAATAAAATTCATCGTTGGGCCATGTGACATTTCAACCTTGTTCCCAGTTTCACAGGGTATGAGATTGCTCAACGTTTATTTTTTTCTTTAATGCTTTTTGATTTTCGTCTTTTTTTTGGTTTGGCTTTCTTGATAAACAACCCCATTACAAGACGATATCATTACAATTGCATCAGGTGTTACATCCCATTACATTGTGTTACATCCGGCCAGCAGGCGTGCTTCTGGGACTTCCGGCCTACTCGTTCAGTTTATTCACCATTCTTGGCTTATCGGCCATCGCAATACCTGGCTCGAGTTTAGCCATTGACGTTGCTTTGGATCGTTCAAAGGTATACATTTGCTTTGTATATTGATCTTGACATATCTATTTCACTTCCTGGTTGGATAATATTGATGAATTTAGATGGTCGACGGCAGAAATCGGAAGTATTACGACCATGTTTTTTCTTTGTCAAGTGTAGGTGGGCTGCTTGTATCATCATCTCTGGTCTGAAACACGGCAAACTAGACATTCGATTAGAGTAACTGTTAGATTAGAGTGTGTGCTAGATTTGGCCAAGAAAATGGAGCGAGCGAAGGAGAGACACTGGAGGAACCACGCGACGAAAGTATCCTGAAGAAATTCCCAAAAACCTTCAAGGTAGGTTTTGTATCAATTCATGTTTCATCAAATTCTTTGGCCAAAACGTTATTAACTAAACGAAGGTAACAACAAGATGATAAAAGATACTTTTGAAGCTGATTTTCTCTCTCTAAAGCCTGTTTGAACGAAATTCTAAAGCCCTCAAAATTTCCAATTTTGCAATATTTTAAACTTTGCCTCGGATGTCTTTAGCACCCATGGCCAGAATAGAACTTTCCCCAAATAGATAATATGATATTTAGGAACTTCAATATCTCTGCAAGCTCTGCTGCTAATTTGACTTATGTGGAAAGAGTACTTTCAGAGAAATTACGAATATGGTTGTGCTTGTTTTTCCTGCTTGTCAAAATGGCCGACAGGAGACATAGTAAAACGAGCAATTTCGTCTTGTCTACTAAAACCCAAAATTTTTTAACGGCAATTTTTATAAACTGGAAGAGTGGCTCTACCATCTGTATGAATTTCATTTGAATTGGTTCACGTGCACCCGAGAACCAGACTCCTTTATTTTTACTTCTTGAGAGTGAATTTTTTGGTCAAAACATAGACGTCTGGCCGACGTGATCAAGTGTGGTTACCATGGCAACGATACATCTGCCGATTCAAATATGGTTGTTTTTGTTTATCCCCCAAGGTAACCTACCTCCACACAAAAATTGCAGAGGGGTTAAAAATTTTCATTTCCAACTTTGCTTCACATTCCTGCAGAATTGCTCTTAATTGGCGATAAACACAATGCTTTGTTAATACCACCCTTAAGTTTGTAGGGTAGCCTATAGTTAGCTAGGGATCTAGGAAATGTGTATTGCTGCTTCAAGGACTTTAATAATAATAATAATTTATTCATTTATAGTGCGCTTTTTAACATACTAGGTGATCAAAAGCGCATTACAACAATAAATAACCTAAGAACTACACAAATATTAGAAATATACAAACATATTTAATATCTAAGAGATATTAAAAGCTAATTTAAAAAGATAAGTTTTAAGATTAGACTTAAAAGTAGAAATACATTTGATGCTGCGGAGGCTAATAGGAAGAGCGTTCCATAAAGTGGGCCAGCCACACTGAAGGATCTGTCACCAAATGGCTTTTTCATTTTCCCTGATGGATGCTTTAATAAAACACCTTCATTAGAGCGCAGCAAATAGCGCGTATTAGTCTTAGTATAAATTAAATCAATGATGTAACTAGGTGCCATGCCATAGAGGGCAGTAGTAATGCACGGCGGTTTGGGTCCTAGCCAATCAGAGCACAGTATACGTCATGTAAGCGTCACGAAATGTCTCCTAAGGAAAAAGGGGTGGTAAGTTAGAGGAGAGGAGAGAGGAAGGAGTGGGGTGACTTACCTAGACTAGAGAAGGGAGGATTGAGTTTTATATATGAGGAAAAGGGTGAAGGCTTGGCCTTGAGGTAGAAGAAGGGGGCAAAATTAAGGAGGGCGCATGCGCGTTGTGGAGAAAAAAGAAAAACTTGTGGATTCCCAGTCCACCGCAGCTAGTCGCTGCGTATCATCCTCTCTCAATGACGAGGGTATCATGAAGGCGCCACACCCTTCATTCATTGTCGCTGGGCTGTCATGGATGAATCAGAACGGGAGAAAGAATGTTCCTCCTCTGGACGGGCTTACTGAAGGAAGTTGTGGAGACAAGGGAGTGTCCGATGAAGAAAGGGATGCCTCTAATCTACAGTCCAACAAGCACTGCGGCAAATAAGTCAAATCTTCAATTCCAATGAACAGTTTAGAATCGACGATAGTTTTCACGGGGAAGTCAGTCACATCATCGTGGGAAAGGAACAGAACGTGGGATTCAAATGGTCGCCATAGCCATAGCCAGTGCTCTTGTACAAAAAAGGGGCCCCTGCACTATTGCGTTCTACAATTTAAACAAGGAGTGTCTCGTACAAGAACTAGGTCAATGGACGGTGAACGTGAGGATTGTCTTGATGCCCAAGTGGAAAGTCTTGTGGAAGTGGAATTCATGAATTATTTGTGAACTGCCCTGTGATGTCAGGTCTTTGGACATGCTGCTGGAAGACAGTTCCGCCATGCCAAGGCTTTCAGCGAACGTAGGACGAAGTGTAGTGCTCTGTAGGACATTACATCAACACGTTCCTCAAACTCAAGTAAGAAGCGGACGGGTGGCTCGCGGATGTTGGCACCGATGAAGAAAGAAGGCAACAATACCTATAAGATTGATGCAGTCCATGAAGGTGTTCAATTGGAGTACAGAAAATTGTCGGACACATTCCAAAAAAACGTTCGCTGGAAAGGAAGCACGAAGAGGAAGCCGACGTATGGTGTACCTGGATCTGCTTCTTGAATCCTCCGTTTGTATTTGTTGGAAAAGGGGATTCAAGTGATGAAATCACGGGCCTTGCTGAAAAGAGGGGACGTCAAAGTTTCTCGCCAACATAACAGATGAAAACATTACACACTACTTTCCAAAACGTCCAGCAGAGAGAGGAGCAGAACGATGGAGTCAAAGGGCGTTGTACGAAGACTGGCGGCATCCAACGTCTTTCAAAAAAAGTTGCTAGGAGAGTCGCTGCCCTGTGTAAGGTTTGTCGCCAGTTGAAGTAAGAGGATAGCTCAGTGGTCTCATGCCAGTCACAAGGAGAATGACAAAGGGAGCAGTGCTGGAGAATTCAGCCATGAGCGGTGCTGGAGAATCCTGGCATTCCATTTCAAGGAAGAACCGAAAAGGCAAAGAAGACGTAGCTCTGAAGGGCGGTCCGGAAGCAGGGCATGAAGAAGAAACCAATTTTGCGTGGTGGAAAGTCTCCTGCTGTACCAATTTGGCGAAGGATAATTACGATTCCGCCAAACGAAGAGAGCTAAGTTGGACTTCTTTGCCGTACCAATTTAAGGAGAAAGGCAGGAAACGGCTGGTGGTTCTACATACCATTTCGGGCCAAGTGCTTGTCGAATACAGGGAAACGTGCCAGATTGCAAAAGAAGAGAGTGAAGAGATTGAAAAGACTTGGGAAAATGCCTCCCCCTTGCATCGCCGGGTCCGTGTATCCGAAGGACCTTGTGGAATGGTGGAAAGCTACCGATATGAAGGCCAACAGCAAAAGAAGGAGCAGAACGGAGGATTCAAATGGTCTTCTTAGACTGGGCTCAGACTTTGACGCGGACGAATTGATAAAAGGATTTTTTCCCACTTGTTTAATATCAAGAGGCCTTGAGGGCATTCAACAAAGGAGTTGCACTAAGTTGCTGTTTGAGGTGCAGATTCAGCCTGGTGGGAAGCCATTCAAGTTGCAGGAATGGAAGTGGAACACGTTGACACGCCTGTCCTCGCGAAGCAGACTTTTTACGTCAACTGTGTTGCCAATAGAAGAAACAGAAAGAACTTTAGGGAAGGAGATAGGATCCTCGAGCCTGGGGTCGAACTAAAGTGACACCAACTTCACCACCAGAAGAAAAGGAGCGAAGGGTAACTGTCGCAAGAATCGAGGAGCAGAAGGAGGGACTCAAAAGGTCATTGAGTCAGGGTCCGTTCGTGGGGGTGTCAGCATTCGGCAGAGCAAAACCAAAAGCAGCCAACCAGATCTACGTGAGGTGCATTGTGGAACTCGATGTCTCGCACAGGATGCTTGCTTGCTGCGCCAGTCCAGGCCCGCATCAACATTTATGTGGCGTGCTTTACCACCTGTCATGCAAGACTCTCATCCACACCCTACGGGTGGTGAACGACGAAATGCTGGAGAAGATAGGCAAAGCATCAAGGAGCAGAACAAAGGATTCAAAATGTCATTTTCAGGCATAAAGTCGAAAATAAATCAGTTTTATTTTTTAAAGGTCAAATACAGAGTCGTCATTATCAATGTTGCTGTCTTCCTGAGGGACCGGGGTTAGCCCGTACTGGTACAAGTGAAAGTCCTTGGCGCCCACCGCTCGTTTGGTCGCAATC